GTCACAGCTGGTAGGAGTGACCGGCTGCCCAACCACATGGATCATAGCATTAGTGTTTATTCCAAGTATGGGGTTGTTGGAAAACTCATAACGTATTTTTTCTATTTTTCATTGCAAAAATGCGTCATGATTTTTCCGACAACCCAATATTATGATAAAGCACAGAGGTCTCCTCTGGGCTGTGGCCTGGGCCGACCAGTGTCTAGAAGGACCCCTTTGGCCACAGAGTGGATGAGAGACCCTCAGGGGCCAAGGGCAGGGAGCCACACAGGACTCTGGTGGCACGTCCCCAGGAGAGGCACTTGGCCAGGGCGATGGTGGCGATCAGACCGCAGGGCTGGAGTCCGGCCACAGAGGGAGCCCACGGGGGCACACGTGGGGCAAGTGAGGGCTCAAGAGAGGTAGGCAGGACGGTGCTAGGTCAGCCAGGGCCAACGGCCACCAAGGGAGCCTGCAGGCGCGGGCCTGGGTGGGGTCCAGGTTAAGCCCAGCAGACCTGGGGGGCTCAGTAGTGCCCCCTCTGGGCCGGGAAAGGAGCACGCCAGCGGAATCGGGGCTGCGAGCCTGGCCGGCGGCCCTGAACACGACGGGCTGAGCAAAACGTGGGCGGGTCCTTTCCCACACAGATTTTTATTGTTGGTGATGCTGAGCATGGACAGACAGACACTGACGACACCGTGTTCTATGTGGGGCAGCCAGGCTCCTCGAGAGAAGGGGTAGACCCACTGCCCTGGGGCCACAGTCCGCAGTGGGATGGGGCGCCTCCGCAGGGTCAGCACACGTAGCACGGCCTCCAACTCCCTGCGGGGCACGGAGCTGTGCCTGGGGCGCAGCCCACGGCCCCGTGCATTTCGGTGGCTGAGCCAGCTGTGGGATGGCCGCGCTTTGGCTAAGTTTCGTGTAACAGCAACGGGGACGGCAGCACACAGGTTTTCAGAGCCGGCCCAGCATTTTGACAATTAGTTCTGATTCACAGGTAAGTATGATTTAAAAAGCCGTTCCCTAACATAGAAGGTGTGGTTATGGATGTGATGTGTGCCTGAGAGAAGACAATTCTGGCAGGGTCTTCCTCCCAGGGTCACGCCCAGGCCGCCTACCTCGGGGGCGCTGCCTGGTCAGGCCCAGGCTGGGGACACACTCCTGCTCGTGAGCAGCACGCTTTCTCCCGTGGCCACGGGTCCACGGCCAGGCGGCAGCGCACGGACCGGGACCCGCATCGCGCAGGAGAGGTGGCAGTCACGCGGGTCCCATGGAGTTTGTTTCTCTCAGCTACAAGGAAGTCAACAGCGTCCCCGTCACACACACCAGACCCTGCCCTCGATGGCTCGGAACAGACGGCGTGTGTGACGTGGAGACACAAAGCCCCCACTCCATCGCCGTGTGTGCGGTTTCTTCCATTTCACCTTCCACACAATTAGGCAAAATGTGATATTTAGCTTTTGTAATACGAGCAAAATAAATGACCCAGGAAGCGAGTGGGAGCACGAAGGCCCCACAGTCACCCACAATCACGTTTCTCTCAGCACACGGAGGGAGCGAGACGTTAGCCCTGGGTGGCGGCGGGGGTTGGGGGCTTTACAAGAACAGAGCACGACGTTTTCTACTACGTTACACAGGACACAGGACGGATGGCAGGTGCTGTCCCCACGCGCGTCACCAGTGTAAACACGGGAAGGCAGGGCTCCCGTGTGTCCAGGCAGCACCGGTGGCCGGGAGCAGCCTCCTCTCTCCAGGCTCGGGTTTCCCATCATGGCCGGCGTCTCTCCCTCGGCGGGCGGGACGGCCACTCAGGGTCTTCCTTCTCTGCTCCGCTCTACACCATGAGCCAGTGGCGCAGCTGCAAAGAAAACGGGTCTTTCAGAAGCCAGAAGCCGCCCCGGCTCGTACCTGGGAGGGGCGTCAGCGAGAGGACAGTGAGAACGTGGCCGGAACGCTCAGGGGGCCTGGCCAGCACCGCGCTGGGCACCACAGACCCGGTGCCTGTTTAACCTCAGTAAATGAGTCACCACTTGACCCAGAGAAGTCAAGGAGACTTCAGTGAGAAGACTCACTGCCTGCAGTGAGAGGCCAGCGTACGGACCAGCGGCCTCGATGGTCCCCGACAGCGTGACATCAGCTGCTGGCCGGACAGACCTGGGGCTGGTCTCAGATCACACACGGGCACGCATGTCACCTGAGACCCCGCACCCCAGGCGCCCGAGGCCACTTTCCTGGGGCCTCTGGTCCATCCCCGTGAAATGTTGTGCCCTGTAGTTCCGTTTCACTCACGAGACCCAGCGGGTGGGGAGCAGCCCTCATTCACCACTCAGGACGGATGAGATTGACGGGACGCCACACAGTCCTCGGCAAATGTCACTGCCTGTTATTATGCAGCTGGGAGCTCAGCCTAATTTTGATCACAAGCCCTTTGATCGCACTAAATGGCAAGAACTGTATTCTTTAAACATTTTCAAAACTAGGGTGGCAGGGCTGTCTCCTGGCCCAGCCACAGCGGGCACGGGATGCTCAGTGGGTGGCACCTGGCAGGGCTCAGACTCCCACGGATGAAGACCAGCTCAGCAGCAAGGAGCCCAGAACCAGGGCGAAACTGGCCCCAGTGACGCTGTGACCTGCAGATTATGGGTCGCTACGTCAGAAGTGTTAAAAGTGACAGATGCAACGTACAATGACGTGCATTTCACAAGAAACAGGCAGAGCAAATGCAACTTCTAGGGATGGAACGAACGTGTAACTGTCAGCCGAGTGGGGTACAGTGAGGGAGCCGCGAGGTGGAGGTGGACGACAGCCTGTGGCAGGTTCACGGTCAGTGTCCTGCAGCTATCAGCCCGCAAGCCACACAAAGACTTCTGGTTGAGAGGAAGTGATAGGGACAGAATCTGTTGTACCATCTGAAGTAGCCCCAAATGAACACACATACTCATACATAATAATGGGCTTTAGGACCCAGGACATCAGGTGACAAAGGAGAGTGACCCAGAGAGACACAAACACAGGAGCTACCCCTGGTGGCCTCTAGGGAGTCTCAAGGCTGCAGCGTGGGGGAGGGGAGCCCGCTGGGGCCAGTGGACCCTGGGGCTGAGGGGACAGGTGGGTGCTGGGGAGACCAGGCACTGGAGTTTGCAGGACAAAGTGCCCAAGAGGACAGACCTGCACAGGTCCCCGGGGTCCAGCCGAGGACCCAGGGCGCACGAGGCCACCAGGCGAGGGAGAGAACCACCTGACAGGGTTGGAGGGGACAGCCTCTGAAGCCACACGGCAGGCACCCAGGCTGCTCCCGCCAGCCTGGCGGGAGATTCCCCGGTTCGTGGGTGCAGGACTTACAAAGGTCTCACTTCAGTGGCGGGAAATCGCCCGACACTAAATGCTGCACTCATTCCACCTAACAAATCTTCAAAAGTCCCCAAAAGATCACACTGTCCCCAAGTAACTTAATGTCCCAGAACAAAGCTCAAGAGTATTTAAAACGATGCAAAAACATGCAGCATCTAACAAGGTAAAACTCACAGTGTGTGGAGCCCAGTTAAGAATCACCAGACATGAAAAGAAGCAGCAAAATCCAGCCCTAAAGAGAAAAGTCACCAACGGAAACTGACCCAGAACCGACACAAACATTGAAGCGGGCCGGTAAGGGTGTTAAATCCATGATTATAGCTGCATGCTTTACACTCGTGGAGACAGGGCAGCTGTGAAAAGACCCAAACTGAACTTCCAGAGAAGAAAACCGCAGTGTGCGAGATGACCAATATGCTGGATTATCAGATTACATGCTGCGGAGGAAAAAAAATCAGTGAGCTAAAATACGAAGCCACAGGGAGCATATGAAATAGAACACACAGAAGAAAGAGAATTAAAGTGGCCTGATAATATATGTTTAATCAGAGTCCTTGAAGGAGGTGGAGCAGAAAAATGCTAAAGAAATGATAGCCCAAAATTTCCAAATTTGCTGAAAACTATGTACTCAGAGTTCCAAGAGGCTGGAGGAATGGTGGGTGTGAGAAGCAGGAAGTGTGTGTGTGGGGGTGCACCAGCTACACAGGTGGGAAGGCCACCCAAAGGGTCCGGTCAGCACGACGCGCTTTACAGAGCCAAACACGACTGAAGCCAAACAAGATGTGACAGAAATGACGCTAGAAAGGACGGGAGCAGCTCCGACTGCGCGCGGTGGCGCTTACTCAGGGGGCAGACAGGGTGGATGCCAGTGACCATCAAGGTGTGGTTTTCCCGCGAGAGTTCACAAGGCTTCGTTTTGTGACGTAGATAAACGATGAAAAAGCAGCCTTGTGCACCAGTGTCGTACAACCGTGCACCTCTGTCTCCCGCCTCGTGACAGCCTGAACTGCTCCAGGTACCTTCCCTCCGTCCCCCAGGGAGGCGGGCTGGCCCTTCGCTAATTCTAGAACGTGCAGTGCCCACCCTCGGGGCCTTTCGGGGTGCTGTGCCCAGGCCCGCAGGCCCGCCCTTCACACAGCGGCCTCACGCGCCCCGTCCCTGGAGGGCCCACCGGTCAGGCCCAGCCACTCTGCCTTGTCCTTCTCCCCAGCAGCTGCACCTGACACGTGTCGTCTGTAGCCCCCCCTCCTCAGGACAGGGCTTCCCAGGAGGTGACCCCAGGGAGCGGCTGCCGAAGGAGTAAAGGAGCCTCCCAGCTTTCCGGGGGCTGTGGTTCTCACTTGCTCTTTCGGCAGCTCCGGCTGCGTCCCCGCCGAGGGGCTGTGGGGACAGTGGCACGTACTCACCGTAAACTGGCGAACCTCCCCCCTGTCCACCAGCTCGCGCTCCTTCTCGGGCGTGATGGCGTAGGCCACTTTCTAGGAGAGATGGAGAGAGCGTGGGCCCCAGGTTGGCACCTGGTCTGCTGGGGCAGCTGACGGCTGGGTCCTCTGAGACTGTGGAGCAGAGTCCACGCAGGTTGAAACGGCAGGTGCTGGAGGGCCGTCTCCACGTCAACGTGCCGTGAGCTCCGAGTGAAGGTGGGCAGCACGCATGCCCCCACCAGCCCCAGCCGTGCCCGGGTCCCTGGAGCTCACTTGCAGCAGGGGAAGGGAGGCCCTGGCTTTGTCACATTGAGCTCTGCAAGCCGGCCTTCCTTCCACCGCCCGCCAGAATGGCCTGGGGCCTGGACGAAGCGTAACACACTGCCCCTCGCTTCCCGCAGGCCCGTCTCTCAGCAGCTGGTTCCCTGACTCTGAGGCCAGCTTTCCTCTCAGGTCGCAGCCCCAGGGAACCGTCGCAGAGCGCCCCCGCCTCGGAGCGCCCCCGCCTCGGCTACTGAGCGTTTATGTGGTGTCTGTGCAGAGTTTGGGTGGTGGGAGGTGCGAGGCCGCCGGACATGGCTGGTGGCCCCAGGAGCGGGCGGTGGGGCGGGGTGAGGGGCTGTCCACACACGCACCTCCCGCAGGGATCCCGGCAAGCTGCAGAACTTGTAGGCTGCGTAGATGGGCACCATGGACATGGAGGACATGGCGATGGTCCACCCCAGCACGTTGGCCCACTCAGGGAAGACGTAGTCTCCATAGTGCGGGGGCCGGAAGGTCACCACGCTGACCACGACCACAAACTGAAACCGAGGGCACAGGTCAGGCGGGCGCAGACGGATGGAGCAGGCGCATCAGGGCGCAGGGTCTGCAGCCACAGCTCCGGGGGCCCGGCCCCCACAGACGGGGGAACCAGGCAGCCGTCACGGGCAGTGCTGGTCAGATACACGTCCTCCCGGTTCTCAGTTTGACTAGCGGGAACTCCCGCAGCTGTCCTAGGCCCACCTGGGACACCTCACCGTCTAGAGGTCACACGCCCACAGCCGTCCAGGTGTGGCGAGATGGACACGTTGGGGACGGGCCTCAGGCTGCCCGACGGGGTGATACGAGCGGCCTCCGAGTGTTTGGGGGGCTCCGTGAGAAGCACCATTTATGCAGACACCAACCCCTGCCCCCTCCGTCGCTCACCAGCCACTGGGCTGGCCCACGGCGTGGTCGGCCTGGCTGCCTGCCTGTCCCAGGCCTGCCCCAGGTGACTGCTGGGCCGCCTGGGTGGGAGGAGGGCCGGGCATTGGGGGTGCTGGTTCCTGCACAGCTCACGGGCTCTCTGCTTGGACCTGGACTCGACCTTGATCAGCCGTCTGGGACCACCTGTCCAGACCCAGCATCCTGAGCCATTGGGTCTCGGTCACAGGCACCCAGCCACAGCATGAAGGAGCGACGGGCACAGGTTTCTCAGTGGGTCTCGCGGGGTTGGGGACACCTCCACGAGACCAGCGAGGACTGCAGGGGCCAGCCTGCCCTGCCGACTCCGCCTCGGAGACCCCGGTCCTTGGCAGCACGGAGCCCCCTCCCCTGCCTCAAGCACCTTCGCTCACTCAAGTGGAAACCTGTGTGCGGCGCGGCCACCACTGGACAGGGTGGGCATGAGCGCTGGGCAGGCGCAGGAACCCGCGGCCGGGCCTTACCAGGAGGAAGCAGGGGCTGACGAACTTCCAGCACAGCCGCCAGTAGAGGCTGGGTCGCTGCCCGGTCATCTGCTTGATGTCGTCACTGAACTGCCGCACTCCTGGGTGGGGGGGGGGCGCCGGGCAGGACGGTCAGGACAGCACATCCCTGAAGTCCTCCTGACGCCCATGCCCGCCCAGGGGACCTCAAGCTTGCTGCCTCCTGCAGGGGCCAGCCTCACGCCCGACCACGGGGTGACGTGTGCGCCTCAGCCCTGTTGATCACTTGGGGAGAACTGTGGGTCCCCAGAGACTGCCTGGCCGCCCCCCACCCTCTTCCTGCCTCACGTCCTCCTCCCCGCGTCCCACAGCTGCCCGCTTCCTCTCTGCAATCGTCGTTTTTCAGTTAAAAAAACTGTGGCAAAATGTATGTAACATAAAATTTACCATCTTAACTGTCTAGTTCAGCAGCATTAGGTGCATTTTCTGTTGTACAACCATCACCTCCGTCATCTCCAGAACTTTCTCATCTATTCAAACTGAAGCTCCGTCCCCATTAGACACATACGTCCCTGCCCCGGCCCGACACTCATCCTGTCCTCCTTGTCACTATGAATTTGGCAGCTCTAGGGACCTCACATACGTGGACTCATATAGTCCTCACATAAGTTTCGTCCTCTTGTGACTGGCTTGTCTCACTGAGCATATGTCCTCTAGGTTCATCCATGTGGTAGCAGGTGTCAGAATTTCTTCTCTTTTAAGAATAATACTCCATTATGTGCACAATTGTAATTTTTTAAGGAAAGGTATTTCCGGATGACCTGGTATCTTCTCCAGGAGATCTTAAAAGTGATTTCTCCCACCCTGAAGCAAGCCTGGGCTCTGGTCGTACGCCCTTGGCTGGTCTGCTGGGCTTGGATTAAGTCTCGTGGGCGTCGCATGTGGGGACATATCAGAAAGGCCCCTCCTTTCAGAATTCCCTCTTTACTCCAACCCCATCATGAGAACCCTGGACACAGAGATGGACCTGAGGACAAAGGGGAACGGAGAAGGGTGAACCCCAAGTCCAGCAAAGAGGGAGCATCTACCTGGGGCTCTCGGTCCCTCTGGACACGGCCCCTCGAGCAGGGCCAGGGCAGCCCCACCTGGCGTAGGTGACCCACAGCTCAAAGACTCACAGGGACCCTCAGTGCCCTGAATGGCTGGGCCTTCTGACACAACCTGCAGACTTGGTTCCATTTGGATCAGACAGACGTGAAACTCGTTTGGAGAAACAACGCAGCTCTCCGTCCCCTGAGGCTTTGGGGCAGGCGCTGCTCCGGGCCAGATCCCCTCCAGCCTCCACCAGCACTGAACTCACGCGCGGGGCGCGTTTGAGTGTCTCACTCTGTGAGGTGTGTGAGGTGTGAAGTGGTAGACAGTATTGCCCCCAGGTGCCAGCGAGAGCACAGACTTCGATGTTTCCCTTTTTGCAGAAATGACATTAACTGAGAAGTGCTCTCGGGCTGAGAACGTCACCCGACGGGGCTGTCAGAGTCAGGGCGCTTTTAGGGCATAGTCCCCACGGCTGTGAGGCAGAGACTAGGCCCCTCTGTAACGTGACGGGCAGGAAGCCGGGGTCTGCACACCCCAGGCCGTCAGCGTGGGCGGTACCTGTGCAGGGCGGCCTCCAGAGCTCCCGTCGCTAGCCCTGAGGGACACCTGGCCCGTGAGCTGAGCTGAGCCAGCACCATGACTCATTCCATGGAAGAGAAAACTGAGGCAGCGAGGTGGTTGGCTCGCCTTGGCCAGCGTGTGGGAAGCGATGCGGCCTCCTCCAGTTTCTGTTGCTGACGAACGACATTCAGTCACCAGCCCCGGAGGGACAGGGGCCGGGGCTGCAGGCTGGTGCCGAGCCTCCTCTGGGGACCGCCTGCCGACCAGCAGGTCCCTGGCCTCGTGGGCTCACAGCACTGACTTATGAACAAGCATCTGTACTCGGGGGGACCCGGGGTCAGGTCAGCAGTGACGTCCTTGAGGGCTCAGTTCTGTACCAGTAGGACCCCGACGTGGGAGCAGGGGCATTTTGAAATATGACAGTCAGACGCAGCATTTGCTGGTCATCTTCTCCAAGGAGGGACAGTCTTGGCTTTTTTCTCTGGTGTCTCGATGCTGGTCACCTCTGTTAGCTGGACACGGACTTCACTTCCAACAGCATTAGTGTCCCCAAGTCCCATGAAACCATTCCTTCTCAGGAACCAATTAGGATGTCTGCACAGCATAGCTGTGTGGCCACTGGACACCTCCAACCACAGCAAGGATCTGGGGTGCTATCCAGGCCAACTGTCTTCCTTGGCCTAATGGGATGATGGTTGCCAACCCCCATCCTCTGCGATGCTGTAGTCACTATGATTTAAGCTTCCTGGAGCTCACATGTCCCTTTTCAAGCCATCTTTGCCAAAAATGGAAGCCGCACAGCCACAAAGCAACAGGCTGTCAGCCCCGCCAGTGACAGGCGGCACAGTCTCCCACCCGCGAAGCACGCCAGCCCCCAGGGGCGGCTCCGTCCTTACCGTAGAACCAGGCCACCCCAATAGCCTCGATGAGCACGCCGAAGAGGATGGACGTGCCGGCCGCGAAGTGGTCCAACAGCGTGAAGACGTAGATGCCGCCCTGGAACGGGAGGGGCGCCTGCTGAACCTGGGGTGCCGCGGTGTGGCGCGCCTGGCCCACAAAACCTGGCCCATGAAAGCGCTTTTCCCAAAACATAAACCTGGCCTGTGGATTCACTTTACAGACAGATACTGCTTCACTCCCTATAAAGTCCAATTGGAGTCACTAAAATTCAGTCCATACACAGCTTCTTAGGGACACATCTATTATGCAAAAATAAAAATGACCTCTCTTTTCCTTTCCCAGCGCTCCCGGTGTCATTAGAAATGAAAGCCACCAAAGGCCAAGCTTGGCAGAACCTCTGTGCGGTGGGGAGGTGACCCAGGCCCCCTACCCCCAAGGACTGGCCTCACTCCAACCTCATAAACCCCGGCAGGCAGGCGGCTGGGCCCAGGGCTTCCCAGGGAGCTGTCCAGGTGCTGAAGGAGCTCGGGACCAAGTCCCACGTGGACCACGGCCACCCCGAGTGTGACCACAGCCACCCCGAGTGTGACCACAGCTGCTCTGTGTGGCCACGGCCACCCCGAGTGTGACCACAGCTGCTCTGTGTGACCACAGCTACCCCGAGTGTGACCACAGCTGCCCTGTGTGACCACAGCTACCCCGAGTGTGACCACAGCTATTCTGTGTGACCACGGCCACCCCAAGTGTGACCACAGCTGCTCTGTGTGACCACAGCTACCCCGAGTGTGACCATAGCTATTCTGTGTGACCACGGCCACCCCGAGTGTGACCATAGCTACTCTGTGTGACCACAGCTTCCTGAGTGTGACCACGGCTTCGCTCCTATGATCACAAGTCGAGGGTAGTTTGGGGGTGCAGCTCTTAGAAGTGCTGTGGCTGTGCAGCCTGACAGCACCAGCACGCTGCCCGGTGCAGAGCACTAAGGAGAACCTGAGGCAAAGCTGAGCCTGTACGTACGTTGGTGACGCAGAAGAGGGACAGGAGGAAGGTCGCCAGGACGATGAAGAGGGTGAAGAGTTCCCGGTGTCTGTGCAGCAGCTGGAACTCGTCGATGAGCCCGGTGATCACCGACTCCATCCCACCCATCTGCAGCCAACACAGAGCGGGGACGTGCTGGAGGGGACTCGGCACCACGCCTGGGTGCCACCTATGCGTAAGTCAATGGGTGTATGCCCAGAAAATGGACTTGGAGTGGGAACTGCATGGTATTGAGGGTGAGAGTGACATAAAGACAGGACAGCCTTCATGAGGGCTCCTCTTGTGACATGGCCATCGGAGAGAGAGGACAGGGGGTGGGCGCTCCGTCCACTGTGGTGATTTGCTTAGTCACCTTGAAGTCCCTGGTGGGGAGAAGTGCTATGTGGCTAACACAACGCCGTGCACTGTATCGCCACAAAGGGTGGGTCTGCTGGACTTTTCTAAGCAAATGTCTCTCCCACAAGCACAGCTGAAGTCTGCTTCCAGGGCGGACGGTCCTGGCCTCCGGCTAATCCTCACTGACGAAGACTTCCTGACTGAGTCTCGTCACGATGGGGCGCTGCCCACGTGGCTCTGATTGCTTGGGGACCCTCTTTGTCCTGCTCTGTTGAGACCACATCTCCCGGGAAATGCTGTCATGGCTTCATTCCCTCCCAGACCACCATCCGAGGGAATGGTCCACCCTGAGGGTCAGTGACCCGGCTGGTGGGAGATGGAGGTGCAGGACTACGGAGCGTGGCCAGAGTTACAGGGAGGTTCTCTGCACTTCCCAGGAAGCTCAGGTGAACAAGGCGCCCACAGCCAGTTATGGGACCCCGAGGTCTCAGCTGATGGTCACCAGCAGGCAAACAGGAAGGAGGCTGAGGAAGTCCAGCAGGCCCAGGGCTCACCCTCTGCCCCCAGAGCACAGCACACACATGTACACACCCACTCACAAGCACATACCCACATAGATGCACACACAGACCCAAGCACGTGCACACGCCCACGCACACTCACCCACGTACATACAGGCACAGATGTACACACATGCACACACCCATGCACGTACATGCACACACACACAGGCACAGATTCACACACACCCACACACCCATGCAGCATACGCAGGGCTGCACAAGACGCTCAGCGGGCCCACCTGGGCCGCGTTGGAGCCTTCTGGCACCCCACCCTGCGCGTGTATCCATTCCTCCTGGGGCTAAGGGGTCAGGGACAGTGACGAGTCATGAAGGGCCTGCCTTGACTCTGTGTGGCCACATCACCCTGTTTTCCTGTGCTGCCCTCTTGCTGTGCGTGTTTAGGGTCCATGGTGGCTCAGGCTGAGGGCACAGCTGGTGCCCCAGAGTGGTCCAAACACCCCGTCCAGGAAGGGTCTCAAGCAATTATGCGACCCCTCCCTGCCACCCACATGGGGCTCTGTGTGAGCACAGGGCCTTTGGGGGATGAGCCCACTGTCAGGCGGGGTCCCGGGCACATGATGTGCTGTGGTCACTCACGGCGCTGTCGATCCCCAGGGCAAGCAGCATGGTGAAGAAAACCACAGCCCAGGCCGAGGACAGCGGGAGCGTGGCAAGCGCTTCGGGGTAGATGATGAAAATCAGCCCAGGCCCTGAAAGCAGACCCCCAGTTGGCACCGAGCTGTCACTTCTCTCTCCCCCGCCCCACCCCCGAGGCCTCCAGACAGCGACAAAGCCTTCCCATGGCGGACTCGCCTCTCCTCACTCCTGAATTCGGGGGACACACGGCCTGGGACTCTAGAGAATAGGAGCCCAGCATCAATGGGACACTGATCTGCCTGTTCCATACCCAGTGGCGCAACGACTGTGCTCTTCCAAATTGCCCCCCGTCCCCAGCTTTGGGGACGCCGGGACAGGAGTGGGAGAGGCTCCCGGGGTCCTGCCTGGTTCCTGGACACACCTCGAGCCTCCGGGTTTGTTCTTCCTGAGCAGGTTGCAGAAACACTGGGCACGCACACGCACACCCACTGTGGTTCACGAGCAATACATTGTAAACGTTTGTGCTGTGAATTATTCCACGCGTGACCTTTAAAAGTACATTTGCGAATGCTCTCTGTTGTGCGGCTAGGAAGGGAGTGACCTGCTCGCAGGGAGTGATCGGCCTCCTTGCAACACCCCCGGGATGGGACTCCTGGGTCAGCACAGGTGCACATGGGCAGCCGCACCTGCTCCTTATCCCCAGCAGGTGGGACCCGGGGGCAGGTGAAGGCCGGGGCTGGACTGGGGGGGGGGATGGGAGCAGCAGCACAACCAAGATGAAATGCAGTTTGGCCGCGAAGGATCTCAAAACAAAACTATTCCCATAGGAACTCGGTAACTGGCCATTCTCATGGTCAGCGTTAGTGGACGCGCACACGTCACTGACCAGCACAGCCCTCAGAGCCTCTGCCTCCACACAGAGAGGTAACTTAGCTCTTCTGCTGGTCCCGGTGCCGACAGGAACAGGGCACTTACAGTCTTTCCAGAGGATCAAAGGCTGGAGGCCGGCCACCTCCCAGAGGCTCGCTGGCCCTGAGGCAGGCTGGGCTCTCTGACCCCCACCCCCAGGGAAGGGGCACCGTTTCCATGTGGGGCAAGGGGCAGCTCTTTGAGACGCTCTGAAGCCTACATGCTGTAAACTTAGCAATGAACCCGGAAGAGGTGTGTCAGCTGGGTGGGACGCAATGTCAACACCCTCAACTTCCGTCTCTGTCCTGAGTTAATATTTCACCCTGTTTTCCTGAGAATTAAGAGTCTGAGTGACACTGACTCACTTGTCAGGCACATGAACAGCAGACGCGGCGTTCCTCTCAGGGGTTAACAGGCCGCTGCTATCTACCATACGGGCAGAGGAGCGGGGTGCACGCACGCAGGGGGCGAACCTCACTGCCCTGTGTGCATCTGCAGCGTGCTGTCCGTCCTCAGCCTCACTACGGTTTTTGTGCCAGAGGAAAGAATGTTGGCTTGGAAACACACGGAGGTTCCGCCCCAGACCCCGCTTTGCCATCTCAGGGGGCTCCTTTTGGGCCTGGAGGTCTCTGTTTCCTCCTTTCAAAGTGGGGGTGTGATGGGATGATGAAGGCTGCCCCCAGCTGAGAGCTCAGGGCACAGAAGGGGCTGGTCCTCTGCTCCCCCTGGCCCTCCCTGGATGATCTCTCTGACTCCAGAGTAAGAAGAGTAAGAGTAAGTGGCCCCACAAGGCTTCCCTGAGTCTCAGAGCACGCCCAGCAGAGCAGGGAACTTCCAGCCGCAGGAGAAGAGTGGGGCGGTCTCTGAATCAAGCCAGGGGACAGCCTCTGGGGGACCTGCACCGCTCACTTGCACAGCAGCCCTGAGGCAGGGGAGGGGTTCAGCCGACTCGGGAGACCCTGGAGCTGGACTGGCCCCATTCAGGGCTGCCAGGCCCTGGTTCCACCACAAACTAGAACCGAACAGACCCCCAAGTGCCCAGGGGCCTCAGTGATCAGAGTGACCCTCAGCACCTGCACCTGTGCCCAGCCACCGACTTGCCCTGCCTGGCACACCTTCTGCTGGGGACGAGCCTGCTCCTGTCACCTGCGCCCACCGTTCAGCCACCAGCTCCCAGTTGGGGAGGGGCTGATGTGGGATGTCACCTGGGCCACAGTGGGCTCCCACTGGGACACCTGCAGCTGCTCAGGCCAGCCACTCACAGCAGCATGGAGGCCTGTGTCCCCTTGTTCTGCAGGAAACGTGTCCTGATAACTGGCCTGGGGTGGGCGGAGGTGTGGGCCCGCGTGCCCTCTGCAGACTCACCGTCCTTGGCCACGTCCCCGATGGGCACGCTGTGCTTCTGGGCCATGTACCCCAGGAAGGAGAAGACCACGAAGCCAGAGGAGAAGCTCGTCAGGGAGTTGACCGAGGTGGTGATGATGGCGTCTCTGTGATAAGACACCCGTCCCCATGCTGGAGCAGCTGCAGTTCCTGTCATTATCCTCAATTACTGCATCTGGGGCACCTTCCCAGGGGTCATGCCAGCCCTCTCTGCAGCCACAGAGCCTATCCTCCAGCTGCCCTGCCCACGGGGATAGGACTTCCCACCTGGGACCTCCTGGCTGCAGGCTCCAGGCTCTGGGCCGTCCTCACAGTGACCAACGGTCCATGTCTGTCCAGGACCAAGAGGGTCCTGGGACACGCACTCAGTGCTGAAGGCAAGCGGGCCCACCAGCAATACTGGGGCTCTAGGTGGATATGGGGGTCCCTACTTGTGCTGGGGGTGGCTGTCAGGCAGGGGGACCTTGTTCTGACAGGGCAGGTCTAGTGGGCCCCAGAGGATACATTTCCCAGTGACCCCCAGGGGTCCGGTGCTGCTGGTCTGGGGTGGAGGAGGGGGCAGGGGTGGGGCCTCAGAGGAGTCTGCTGCCCCAAAATCTAGGAGGCTTCCTTGCAGGGAGGTGATACACATCTTCAAGGGTTTCAATACCTTCCTTAAAGCAACAATCAACATTTGCCTGTAGCTTTCCCATTTTAATTTCCACGTAAAAGGCCATTTGGCTCAGCGGTTCGGCCCACACAGCTGATGTCTCCTCCCTTCATCCAGGACACATTATGACCCCCCCTCCTTGATCCTGCAGACCCTCATGCAGGCAGGGGCTCAGGACTTACCTGTAGCAGTTGTTGGTGAATTTATTGTAACTGGAGAAGGCTATCAGCACCCCAAACCCAACGCCCAGGGAGAAGCATATCTGGGTGGCAGCATCTATCCAAACCTGCAGCCAGAGGGACGGACAGCGGTTATTAGAGCTGCGGGAAGCCACAGCCCAGCTGTCAAAGGCAACTGTGCAAAGACCGCGACCTCGGCTACTCTGCTCCCTGACAGCGTCTCCAGCTGAAATGCCACCTGCTCCATGGAACAGAGTCGAATCTAAACTCAGCATCATTACCAACGAGCACCTGGCACCAGAACGCGATCAGAGGAAATGCCGTCTGGGGAAAAACCTCCCCACGTCGCTGGCCCGAGGAGCGTGATGAGAAGGGGGCTGTATCTTTGCTCGATCTTCGTGCTTTGTGACTCCCTGTGGACCATCAGCATGTTACTCCACAGACTCGAGTTAACTGGCTATTAATTAACGCTGGCATCTGCTCCGCTTCCTCTCTGTGCTTCCCGGAGTCGAGGATGGGGACCGCAGCTGCATCTCCTGTCCCTTTACTCGTAGCTCCTGCTACATGTGTCTACTCTCACGGCCTCGCCGCCTGGCCTGCTGCGGGCTCCCCGTTGGCGCCCCGCTGAGGTCGCTCACTGCTGCCTGGCCTTGTGGGCTTGACGGTGTCCTGCGGGAGGCACCTTCCTCCCAGGGCTTCCTGGGGGCCTGGAGCCGTGCCCGCCCTCCCTGACGAGCCCCACAGCTGCCTCTCACTGTGACCTCGCAGCATGGAGGGCCACCTTCCAATGGCCCCCGGGCCCCAGGCTGCCCCCCACCTTGCTGAGACCTGCCTTCCCCCTCTTGCAGATGAACGCCCCTTGGGTAGCTGTTGAAGCCCCATCACCTGCCCCGATCCAGCCCTCTGAATGTCTGACCACTTCCTTTCAAGAGCCGCTGTTCCTTCATTCCCCTCCCCACGCACCAGAGGCCACTGCTGTTTCTGGATGGTTTCCCTGCAATGCTGTCCCCCCCGCCTCTGGAGACCCCTCCTCATGGCCTGACCACGCTCCTCTCTCCAGGACTGGGGGTGGCCGTGGAGTTGGGGAGTTGACTGGGGGCTGCGGTTGGGCTTTCAACCCAGAACAATCTTTTCCTTTGCTGAAGAAATCTACAGCCAGCTCTGGGCTTCATTTCTGACGTGATGTGACTTAGGTCACTCTCTCGTACTGTGGGCACCAAGAGTGTCCCCCATCGAGGTGCAGCTTCCTGAGGAGGGAGCCCTGGCTCTGGCAACGCTGACCAGTCTCAGCCGCGCTGGGCCAATGCACAGGGGCTGGCGCGCAGGGCCACGTCCCGGGCAAAGCTCTGTGGCATGGAGTGGGCAGCCCATGCTGCTCCTCCAGGAAGCGGATGGAGCAGGGGAAGAGGTTGCTCCTCCAGGGAGAGGATGGTCCATTGTATTCCTAGAGTCCCAGCAGTGGCCTGGCCTCCTAACTCCCTCGTTCTGGTCATCGGCTCCCTGCTGTGCCCACACGTTCCCGGTCACGTGGGTGGTGAGCTGCGGGCAGGCATGGGTGCTGTACTGCAGAGCCTGGCCCACAGCAGGATTTACAGGGCGAGTGAGACATTCCGGCTGAACAGCTGCCTTTGGAATCGCCTGTCCCCAACACAGGGCCCCTGGCATGGCGCCTGCCCACCCACATACGCCGCAGGGCGTGAGCAGCGGGCATACTCACGGACGCCTCGCAGAGCCGATGGAAGTCAACACTCAGGTATGCTCTGATGCCATCGAGGGCTCCGGGAAGGGTGATCCCCCGCAGCAGCAGGGCGAAGAGGACCACATATGGCATGGTGGCCGTGATCCACACGACCTGGGGACAGGACAGCGTCACCGGGCTGCACGGGCCACCCACTGCGGGAGTGGGCACCAGTCACCCTGACGGCTGGTGCTAAGAGAGAGGCAGCTCAACATCCCAAACGTTCACAGCAGATGCTCACTGGGTGAGGCTGCAAATGGCTTCTGTCCTGTGCGTCTTCCCCAGGGATTAAAAGAGGACAAACAACTTGGCAAGGAAGGGACATTCCTGCCTGTATTCGGTCTGTCACAGTAGAAGTGGGCAGGAGTGGCTGAATTTCTGAAGAGTGAGATGTGAGTGAATTTCACCTGGCTTACGTGTAAAAGATGGATTCCGGGCCACGGAGGGGAAGGCACCCTCACAGAAAGGTTCCCACGTGTCGGCATTTCACTACATGTGTTATCACAAGTGACGGGCACATTTTGGTCAAAATTACTTTGAGTGCCCATAATAACCAAAATATTTTCATCCGCAGAAGATTTATGCTGTGCTTGTCTTCAAGCTGAGAACACTCTGCTGTGGGTGCTTTGCCCTGGAGGCCACTCTTCAGCCAGACCTTGGCCCCCTGTCCGCGCCCCAAGCCAACCACAGCCCCCTGCCCACTCCCCAGCTGCGGCCATGTGTCCACTCTCCGTGGGCTGGGGCCTCACCTTCCCAGAAGTCTTCACTCCCTTCCACAAGCTGAAGTAGAGCAGGACGATGACCAACAGTAGGCAGGACGCGAGCTGCCACCGGGGAGGGCCCAGGTCGTCAAGGCCACGGCTCTCGTGGAGGTGCAGCACGCCGCGCCTGCAGGGGGTGTGGGGAGAAGGAGGGTGCTGGAGGGGCACGCGTCACCCAGGGCTGTAACTGCACAGCTGCGCTCGCCCAGGGACCCGCCTCCCGACACGGCCTGGCAGGAGCAGAGACCCCCGGAAGGGCCGGGCCCACCGGCCCAGCTGCGACGCAGGTGCTCCCGGAGGGAGCAGAGAGCTCGGCCACAGCAGCTGGGAGCCTGCTGCACCCGCGCTTGGAGCTGGGGTGGGAGGGGCGCCTGGTCTGTGAAGGAAGGGACCACGAAAAGCAGAGGGAGGCCTGGGCACTGCGGGGCCGCTGCTGCCCACAGAAGGTCAGGGTCCCCTACAGGCAAGGCTGAGCGACTCGGAGCAACCCGCAGGACACGCGGGCGCCTGCACTGTTCCCCGAGGTGACAGCTGACCACAGCTGTCCAGCCGCTTTGAAGAGGAGTCTCAGGTTCGCTCAAGAATCCCTCATAAGGGCGAGCGTGAGACCACAGAAAGGGGATGGAGGTGCGGCCGGGAGCACTCCCGGTGGGCAGGCCGGGGTCAGGAACTTTCCACAGCGTGTCCTGAGGCCCTAGTGGGGACCTGCGAGACAGGTGGTGGCACCACTGTGCCCAGTGCGCCCGCTGCCTCGCTGTCCCGTGCAGGACCGTGAATGGAAGCCAGCCCGTGGCCGTGCAGCTGCTGAGCAGTGGAGCCGCACTGTGAAAGGGGACGTCCGGACCCCGTGGGAGAAGGCGGCACAGCCCAGCTTCCAGAGCTTTCGCCAGCTGCAGGCTCACGGTGCCATGTCGGAGTTCGGGTCCTTCGACGCCAGGATCACAGCCTAATGACAGGAGCGGCCGTGAGGCAGAGCCAAGCGCGGCACCCAGGCACAGCCAGCACCAGGCATGGGCAGGTTGGCCTGGGGACAGACACTGCACTGTCCTATCTGTCATCATCATCTTTACGGAGCACGAAGCACATGCTGGAGTAAAAGGACCCTCCCATGGTGTCTCGCCCTGCACGGCTCACAGCGCGAGGTCAAGGAACCGGAGCTCCGGTGGGCGTGAGGAGGCAGCCGCCGCCGGCACAGTGCTCACTGCTGTGCCCGCCTGTCCTCCCGGGGCCAGTGGAATTCCCAGTGTCCCATTCACCTCTTCCTCCCGCCTCAGCTCTGGCTTTATGACTGCTGCCTATGCCTCCCAGGCAGGCCTTATCGCCCAGGACGTCTTTCCACCAACCAGAGACGTCTCCTTGGGCCAATACCATGTGCAGTGGGGCCACACTTCAAAGGATGATCGTGTGAGGCCCTGCCCAACCCTCCGTGTAGTGCAGTGCAGCCACGCCTCGGCAGCCTCGCACACGCACGGGTCACACGCCCCAGCCGGGTGGCAGGTGGCTCTTTACTCATGCCTGGAAAGGAGCTCAGCGCACACAGGAGTCTGCAGCCTCCGGGGCCTCAGCGGGCACGGCTTGGGGGAAAGCGCGTGCCTCTACTCGTGAAGCTGCTTCTAGGACTCCCACACTCTGTTCCACCTTAGACATTTCAAGTCACTTGTGGAAAAGCACCTTGTCTGTACCAGTCAAATCCCTTCCCCAAGATTAAAATGTCCTCTTGTTTGAAATCCCACAGGCGGTTCAGAGGGCGGGACACTGCCAGCTGGGGAGAGGAGCCAGCATGCACCAGCGCTGCGTGGGGCGGCCAGTCGCGACAGGACGCTGTGGGGCACAGGGAGGGCCGGTGCTTCCCAAGACAGGGCACAGGCCCAGAGGAACGGGGAAACGACGCCTGGGGAAGGTGGTGGGGGCTGGAAGGCACAAAGCTCTGGAGCCGTCAGTGGTCTGGAGGACCAAACAGTGCCAGCCTGGGATGTCGCCAGCCTTGGCCAAGGCGCAACCCTTTCACTTGGCCACAGGGCGAGACTGCAGGTCCCAGAGCTCATGCAGGGCTGAGGGCCGCTGAGTGCCCACTGGCAAGGCAGGGGACTTGGCGATCACATGGGGAGTCCGGCGGATCCTGGAAGGGCCACTGCAGTCAGGGTACAAACCATCCTGGAGCAATGGCCACCCCAGAAGCACTTCAACAAAAAGCTGCAAAAGGATACAACGGGACCAGAAGCAAATTAACTCCCTACCAGCGCAAATCCAACACCTGATAAAGGAAGACCCCGAACTCTAAGTACCCACGAATGTAAAACTCACCAAGGCTAGCATGCGATAAAAAGTTAAAAGACATAACATGAAGCAAGAAAAGGTGAGAATCGGTCAATGGCTCCCTAGCACTAAATACAAAAATTCACTCAAAGGGTAAAAGATTAAATGTAAGAGCTGAAATTATGAAACTCTTGGAAGAAAACAAGAATAAATGTTCAAGATCTTGGGTTTGGCAACAGATTTTTTAATAAAAATATTCAATTTATTTAACCAAACAAAAAACAGTTCACCCATTTTTTCCCAACCCCCACCTCCTACCTTTGGCAACCACCAATAAGTTCTTTGTATCTGTGAGCTTAGTGTTTTTTCTTTTTTGTTGTTGTTTTTTCTTTTTGGCAATGGATTTTTTTGATAGGACACCAAATGTGAAAGCAATAAAAGAAAAAAAATAGATAAAATGACTTAGTCAAAATTAAAAACTTTTGAGCATCACAGGACATTATTAACAGAGTAAAAAGGCAACTCACAGAATGGGAGAAAATATTTTCAAATCACAT